AACTTCTGTCTTGTCATCATTCTCGCTGTCTGTTCCTCTGTCTGTAGCTCTGTCTGGTTGTTGTCCTTTTCTGTCTGTTCCTCTGTCTGTATCTCTGTCTGGTCTTTGTCCTCTCTGTCTGTTCTTCTGTCTAGTCATCATCCTCTCTGTCTGTTCCTCTGTCTGGTCGTTGTCCTCTCTGTCTGTAGCTCTGTCTGTCGTTGTCCTCTCTGTCTGTTCCTCTGTCTGTCATCGTCCTCACTGTCTTCCTCTGTCTTGTCCTCTCTGTCTGTCCTCTCTGTCCATCTCTCTCTGTTCCCCTCTCTGGTCCTTGTCCTCTCTGTCTGTTCCTGTGTCTGGTCCTTGATCTCTCTGTCTGTTCCTCTCTCGTCCTCTCTGTCCATTCCTCTGTCTGGTCCTTGTCCTCTCTGTCCATTCCTCTGTCTGGTCATTGTCCTCTCTGTCTCTTCCTATGTCTGGTCGTTGTCCTCTCTGTCCATTCCTCTGTCTGGTCCTTGTCCTCTCTGTCCATTTCTCTGTCTGGTCATCATCCTCTCTGTCCATTCCTCTGTCTGGTCCTTGTCCTCTCTGTCCGTTACTCAGTCTAGTCGTTGTCCTCTCTGTCCATTCCTGTCTGGTCATTGTTTCTCTCTGTCTGTTCCTCTGCCTGGTCGTTGTCCTCTCTGTCTGTTCTTCTGTCTAGTCATCATCCTCTCTGTCTGTTCCTCTGTCTGTGGCTCTGTCTGGTCGTTGTCCTGTCTGTTTGTTCCTCAGTCTGTAGCTCTGTCTGGTCATTGTCCTCTCTGTCTGTTCTTCTGTCTAGTCATCATCCTCTCTGTCTGTTCCTCTGTCTGTAGCTCTGTCTGGTCGTTGTCCTCTCTGTCTCTTCCTCTGTCTGGTCGTCATCCTCTCTGTCCATTCCTCTGTCTGGTCATTGTCCTCTCTGTCTCTTCCTATGTCTGGCCGTCTCTCTCTGTCTCTTCCTCTGTCTGTCTGTCATCCTCTCTGTCCATTCCTCTGTCTGGTCCTTGTCCTCTCTGTCCGTTACTCTGTCTGTCGTCGTCCTCTCTGTCGATTCCTCTGTCTGGTCCTTCTCCTCTCTGTCCGTTCCACTGACAGGTAGTCGTCCACTCTCACCATTCCTCAGGCGGGTCCTTGTCCTCTCTGTCCATTACTCTGTTTAGTCGTCGTCCTCTCTGTCTTTTCCTGTCTGGTCATTGTTTCTCTCTGTCTGTTCCTCTGCCTGGTCATTGTCCTCTCTGTCTGATCCTCTATCTGGTCATTGTTCTCTCTCTCTGTTCCCCTCTCTGGTCCTTGTCCTCTCTGTCTGTTCCTGTCCTTCCTCTGTCTTCTCTGTCCTCTCTGTCTCTGTCTGTCCTTGTCCTCTCTGTCCTTCCTTCTCTGTCTGGTCATTGTCCTCTCTGTCTTCCTCTGTCTGTCCTTGTCCTCTCTGTCCTCTCTGTCGTTGTCCTCTCTGTCCATGTCTGTCATTGTCTGTCTCTCTGTCTGTTCCTCTGTCCTGGTCGTCCTTTCTGTCTGTTCTCTGTCTGTAGCTCTGTCTGGTCATTGTCCTCTCTGTCTGTTCTTCTGTCTAGTCATCATCCTCTCTGTCTGTTCCTCTGTCTGTAGCTCTGTCTGGTCGTTGTCCTTTCTGTCTGTTCCTCTGTCTGTAGCGCTGTCTGGTCATTGTCCTCTCTGTCTGTTCTTCTGTCTAGTCATCATCCTCTCTGTCTGTTCCTCTGTCTGTAGCTCTGTCTGGTCGTTGTCCTTTCTGTCTGTTCCTCTGTCTGTAGCGCTGTCTGTTCATTGTCCTCTCTGTCTGTTCTTCTGTCATCGTCCTCACTGTCTGGTCATTGTCCTCTCTGTCTGATCCTCTATCTGGTCATTGTTCTCTCTCTCTGTTCCCCTCTCTGGTCCTTGTCCTCTCTGTCTGTTCCTGTGTCTGGTCCTTGATCTCTCTGTCTGTTCCTGTGTCTGGTCGTCGTCCTCTCTGTCCATTCCTCTGTCTGGTCCTTGTCCTCTCTGTCCATTCCTCTGTCTGGTCATTGTCCTCTCTGTCTCTTCCTATGTCTGGTCGTCGTCCTCTCTGTCCATTCCTCTGTCTGGTCCTTGTCCTCTCTGTCCATTTCTCTGTCTGGTCATCATCCTCTCTGTCCATTCCTCTGTCTGGTCCTTGTCCTCTCTGTCCGTTACTCAGTCTAGTCGTTGTCCTCTCTGTCCATTCCTGTCTGGTCATTGTTTCTCTCTGTCTGTTCCTCTGCCTGGTCGTTGTCCTCTCTGTCTGTTCTTCTGTCTAGTCATCATCCTCTCTGTCTGTTCCTCTGTCTGTGGCTCTGTCTGGTCGTTGTCCTTTCTGTTTGTTCCTCAGTCTGTAGCTCTGTCTGGTCATTGTCCTCTCTGTCTGTTCTTCTGTCTAGTCATCATCCTCTCTGTCTGTTCCTCTGTCTGTAGCTCTGTCTGGTCCTTGTCCTCTCTGTCTCTTCCTCTGTCTGGTCGTCATCCTCTCTGTCCATTCCTCTGTCTGGTCATTGTCCTCTCTGTCTCTTCCTATGTCTGGCCGTCGTCCTCTCTGTCTCTTCCTCTGTCTGGTCGTCATCCTATCTGTCCATTCCTCTGTCTGGTCCTTGTCCTCTCTGTCCGTTACTCTGTCTGGTCGTCGTCCTCTCTGTCGATTCCTCTGTCTGGTCCTTCTCCTCTCTGTCCGTTCCTCTGTCTGGTCGTCGTCCTCTCTGTCCATTCCTCTGTCTGGTCCTTGTCCTCTCTGTCCGTTACTCAGTCTATTCGTTGTCCTCTCTGTCCATTCCTGTCTGGTCATTGTTTCTCTCTGTCTGTTCCTCTGCTGGTCGTTGTCCTCTCTGTCTGTTCCTGTCTGGTCATTCCTCTCTGTCTCTCTCTGTCTGTTCCTCTGCCTGGTCGTTGTCCTCTCTGTCTGTCTTCTGTCTCTATCCTCTCTGTCTGTTCCTCTGTCTGTAGCTCTGTCTGGTCCTTGTCCTCTCTGTCCATTCCTCTGTCTGGTCATTGTCCTCTCTGTCTCTTCCTATGTCTGGCCGTCGTCTGGTCCTTGTCCTCTCTGTCCGTTACTCTGTCTGGTCGTCATCTTCTCTGTCCATTCCTCTGTCTGGTCCTTGTCCTCTCTGTCCTTTTCTCTGTCTGGTCATCGTCCTCTCTGTCCATTCCTCTGTCTGGTCCTTGTCCTCTCTGTCCGTTACTCTGTCTAGTCGTTGTCCTCTCTGTCCATTCCTGTCTGGTCATTGTCCTCTCTGTCCATTTCTCTGTCTGGTCATCATCCTCTCTGTCCATTCCTCTGTCTGGTCCTTGTCCTCTCTGTCCTTTCTTCTGTCTAGTCATCCTCTCTGTCCTCTCTGTCTTGTTCTCTCTGTCTCTGTCTAGTCGTTGTCCTCTCTGTCTGTAGTCATCTGTCCTCTCTGTCCTGTTCCTCTGTCTGTTCCTCTGTCCATTCTCTGTCTGGTCCTTGTCCTCTCTGTCTGTTCATCTGTCTAGTCATCCTCCTCTCTGTCTGTTCCTCTGTCTGTAGCTCTGTCTGGTCCTTCCTCTGTCTGTCCTCTTCTGTTTGTTCTCTCTGTCTTCTGTCTATCATCATCCTCTCTGTCTGTTCCTCTGTCTGTATCTGTCCTCCTTTCTGTTTGTTCCTCTGTCTGTAGCTCTGTCTGGTCATTGTCCTCTCTGTCCTCTTCTGTCTGTCATCCTCTCTGTCTGTTCCTCTGTCTGTAGCTCTGTCTGGTCGTTGTCCTTTCTGTCTGTTCCTCTGTCTGTAGCGCTGTCTGGTCATTGTCCTCTCTGTTTGTTCTTCTGTCTAGTCATCATTCTCTCTGTCTGTTCCTCTGTCTGTAGCTCTGTTTGGTCGTTGTCCTTTCTGTCTGTTCCTCTGTCTGTAGCGCTGTCTGGTCATTGTCCTCTCTGTCTGTTCTTCTGTCTAGTCATCATCCTCTCTGTCTGTTCCTCTGTCTGGTCGTTGTCCTCCCTGTCTGTTCCTGTCTGGTTGTTGTCCTCTCTGTCACTTCCTTTGTCTGGTCGTTGTCCTCTCTGTCCGTTCCTCTGTCTAGTCATCTTCCTTTCTGTCTGTTCCTCTGTCTGGTCATTGTCCTCTCTGTCTGTTCTTCTGTCTAGTCATCATCCTCTCTGTCTGTTCCTCTGTCTGTAACTCTGTCTTGTCGTTGTCCTCTCTGTCTGTTCCTCTGTCTAGTCATCGTCCTCTCTGTCTGGTCATTGTCCTCTCTGTCTGATCCTCTATCTGGTCATTGTTCTCTCTCTCTGTTCCCCTCTCTGGTCCTTGTCCTCTCTGTCTGTTCCTGTGTCTGGTCCTTGATCTCTCTGTCTGTTCCTGTGTCTGGTCCTTGTCCTCTCTGTCTCTTCCTCTGTCTGGTCGTCATCCTCTCTGTCCATTCCTCTGTCTGGTCATTGTCCTCTCTGTCTCTTCCTATGTCTGGCAGTCGTCCTCTCTGTTGATTCCTCTGTCTTGTCCTTGTCCTCTCTGTCCGTTCCTCTGTCTGTCCGTCGTCCTCTCTGTCCATTCCTCTGTCTGGTCCTTGTCCTCTCTGTCCGTTCCTCTGTCTGGTCGTCATCCTCTATGTCCGTTCCTCTGTCTGGTCGTCCTCCTCTCTGTCCATTCCCCTGTCTGGTCATCGTCCTCTCTGTATGTTCCTCAGTCTGGTGGTCATCTTTTCTGCTGTTCCTCCATATGGGGGTCTTCCATTTTGTCAGTTCCACTCTCTGATAGTCATCCTCTCTTGGCAGATATTGTCCCCTTGATGCTAGAGGTTACTTTGTATAAAGTACAGATGTGGCTTTTGTTAAGGCAGATGGTACATTGTACATAATTACCCCACCCCTACTCCCTCCCTCAATAACAAATGTGACACCAAACTGCTATTAGAGATGTACTCCAATCTTGTTAAATATTACTATTTTCTTGGTTATCAGAAAGGATACATGTCAAATGCTTGTTACAAATAAACAATATTTTTTTTACTAACTCTGAAATTTTTGCAATTATTTTTCAGCTCTTGAGTCTAATGCTAAGAAAAATCCACAGCGTTTGATAAAGGCCATGGAGGAATATCTAAAACGTAAAAAAAGTTCTGTGGATCTTGACAACATGGATGTAGGAGGGGAAAATTTCCTTAGTGTTTGTGATACAGAGGCAGGTCAATACTGAAAAAGATGCAGTTTCGACAAGAAATTACACTGAAAAAGAGACAGTTTCAACAAGAAGCTATTCATAAACACACATGCACAGTTTCAAAAGGAAAATATGCTGAAAAAAAAAAGAGAAAATCACCATATTCCCCGAAAAAAACTTGTAAACCTGTAACATTAAGTTTGGCCAGTGTGTCATGCTGTAAGCACAGAAACACCAAACTTAGTTTTCACAGTTAGGTTTGACATTTTAATGTAAACAGCTTTTGATTCCCTATTAGGAATGTCTGTTGTGGTCATCCATAAGCAAATGCATAATACATTACTGTTGTTATTCTCCAATCAGCCCATTCATGACAATAAGCACATGCCTGACCATAATCCCATGCCAAACAATAAGCCAGTGCCACAACAAGGCCATGTCTGACAAAATGTCAATTTGTGACAATAAGCACATTTGTGACAATAGGCACAAGCCCGACAGTACAACCAAGCATGACTTTAAGTCCATACCTGACAATGACCACATGTCAGACAATAAGCCCATTCCTGACAATAAGCCCTTGTTTGGCAGTATGTACGTGTCTGAAAATAAGCCCACACCCGATCATAAGCTGATGGATATTCATTGCTTTTTCTGTAACTAACAATTAATGATATTTCATTGTGCAGTAAGACCACCTCAGCTGACCCCTTGGTCTTACTGGAGGATAAGTACAGTAAAGAGCAACTGGTAGGACTTAGCTCAAACTTCTCGGAGGTGAATATTAGTCACTGGTCGAGTCATTGACAGATTACATATCATAGAATTATATCGACATTTTTAGTTTCCAATAAAACATTATTGACACAACACAGGTGATTTAGAGATGTCAGAAATAAACATATTACAGTGTTGTCAAAAACATTTGAGGTAGACACAAATTTCCATGTGATTCGGTATGATTGAAGTGGGGACAAATATTTCCATTATGATATTGTTAGCTGTCTATCAAGTGTGTCTGGCAGTGTCAAAATCCTGGGTTCACTAGCAGAACAAAACGGTTTCACAGTGCCTGAATCCTTGGTTTGCTAGCAGAGCAAGAGTGTTTGTATTGTAAAAATCCTGCATTTACTAGCAGATCAGTAGGGTTTGACAATGTCTGAATTCAGTGTTTGCCTGTAGATTGCAAGTGTTTGACAATGTCTGAATACTTTGACAGCAGATTGCAAGTGTTTGACAGTTTCTGAATACTTTGTTTGACAGCAGATTGCAAGTGTTTGACAGTTTCTGAATACTTTGTTTGACAGCAGATTGCAAGTGTTTGACAGTTTCTGAATACTTTGTTTGACAGCAGATTGCAAGTGTTTGACAGTTTCTGAATACTTTGTTTGACAGCAGATTGCAAGTGTTTGACAGTTTCTGAATACTTTGTTTGACAGCAGATTGCAAGTGTTTGACAGTTTCTGAATACTTTGTTTGACAGCAGATTGCAAGTGTTTGACAGTTTCTGAATACTTTGTTTGACAGCAGATTGCAAGTGTTTGACAGTTTCTGAATACTTTGTTTGACAGCAGATTGAAAGTGTTTGTCAGTAGATTAAAGATGTTTGACAGTGTCTTGAAGACTAATGGAACCCAGATGTATTTGCAGGTCTAGTGTTTTAGACAATGACAGAAACCTAGGTTTTTGTTAGCTCTTGAGTGGCATATTGATATGTGTTGTATTTTATGATATCATTAGATTGAAGAGTCAAGCTTTAACAGCATGTGTCATTTAAATCTACCTACATCAAAGGTTGAAAGTTCAGTGTTGGCAAAAATGGTTGGCCTATCCACAGCTGAGAAATCATTACATTTGATCACCTAATTGACCTGTTCTAATTAGTAACAGGCTTTCTAAGTATGCCTTGACTATTTGAACAAACACACCAATGAAATGAATTAATACTCTTGTAACACCTACATGATGTCACATGATTATCATGACAGTGGTAGAAAAAGAACATCATGTTTTATTAAAAATTTGTCTGTCTTAAAGAGAAATAAATTTTTCTCACATTTTGTAATAAAAATGGGTTATGTGGTAAACAGGATGTTAAACTTATGTACATGTACTATTGTATTTATTTAATGATTTTAACAAATTGATATAAGACAAACCTTTAGCAGTCATCTTTGCATGATATAAAATGTATAATGAGTTTGTTACCTAACATTTTTAGAAATACTTTCATTTTTTGTAGTTTTCCTTAGTGTACGATGTAGATGTTATTTTTTCATTGTTTTGTCCTTTTATTTTGTTTGTCTGGGACATTCAGGGTTTCAACTTCTGATTTATTCTTGTATTAAGATCAGATTAGAATCTTGTTTTAAAATGTACTTTCACAAAAGAATATTTAATTGTTTAACCTAAGGAACAAAGGCTCAAATTGTCATTGGTTTACCTAAAGCTTGTTGCAATATTGTGTTATATTTATTGTATTTTGTATAAAATGGACTGTGCTTCTCTTGATAAATCCAATATTCAACACCGTATCTATTTTTTAGCAATTTTATTCCGTCCTCAATGATAGGGTTTATTAAACTCTTCAGAAAATAACATAACTTTCTATAGTATATACCAAATAATGTGATATGATTTATTTTCAACTTATCTCAACAGAGTTGGACAGGGAGTTGGTGAGGAACTAGGTGAAGGATTTTTGGAGGGGCTGTAGGTTGGTAAGGGGAATGAAATTTTATACTATACCCTTTGATTGCAGTCTGCATTAGCCTTCCCATTTGGCCCTAAGAATTACAGAATTGAAGTAATATGTAATTGTAATTGGTACAGCATAGCTGATGAATCTAATAATCGATCTGACCCAGTATCATACTTGATTGACCTTGTTTTGGAACTTTTCCTTTAAACAACTTCTTCTCCATAATCAAAAGACCAAGTGTGCTGATATTTAGCATGTAGCACCCTTGGATGAAGGGCTACCAAGTTTGTTCAAATGGATGACCTTGACAGAATTTGAAGGCCACACAGATCAAAATAAGATGATAATTGTCCCTATTGCATGCTGGGATGGAGTTACCAGATTTGTTCAAATGACTGACCTTGACCCACTTTCGAAGTCACAGGGGTCAAATAAGTTCAGAACTCAAAATTTCTTTTCAACAAGCAATTTATCCTGGGCCATGCTAATAGTGTAGTATCGTGGTTGAGGAAAAGATTTTCAAGTTTGCAATTACTTCACAAATCGACAGAGTCTTCTGTGTAAGCTGTAGAACAGTATTAAATGCAGTATATGTCATGTGGCTAGACTTTCTAAGGACATCTGATTAACTTAAGACCTAATCTACATATTTTCATACTTGACTGACTTTGAGATTTTTAAGCTAAAGGTAATGCAGTTACAAAATTTCTTTTTTCAAAGCCTCTAAAATTAAATGTTATTTCCAATCCTAGCTTTCTGATTGGTAAAAAAATCCAATGAGCTTAACATGCTACCTAGCTGCCCTTGTTTACTATAAATAATGCCACCATTTTTCAAAAGTGTTATGCATGCATACGATGCTATGAGACAATAAAGTTTAAACATACAAGAACTGACAGGTGTTCCTGACGGTATTCAGATTGAGATATGCATCAGTCACCAACTAGCATTGCTCTGTCTGAAAGTCTCCAAGATCGTTCAATGTGGTTGAATGTACAGGATTATTGGATCACTGACATCTATTGTTATCATTAGCAGTTTACACAATAGTGTCACCACTGATGGTTGATAAACAATAGCCTTAGCACTGGTTAGTATACAATAGCCTTAGCACTGATGGTTAGTAAACAATAGCCTTATCACTGATGGTTAGTATACAATAGCCTTAGCACAGATAGTTAGTATACAATAGCCATAGCACAGATAGTTAGTATACAATAGCCTTAGCACTGATGGTTAGTATACAATAGCCTTAGCACAGATAGTTAGCATACAATAGCCTTAGCACGGATAGTTAGTATACAATAGCCTTAGCACAGATAGTTAGTCTACAATAGCCTTAGCACAGATAGTTAGTATACAATAGCCATAGCACAGATAGTTAGTATACAATAGCCTTAGCACTGATGGTTAGTAAACAATAGCCTTAGCACTGATGGTTAGTAAACAATAGCCTTAGCACTGATGGTTAGTATACAATAGCCTTAGCACAGATAGTTAGTCTACAATAGCCTTAGCACAGATAGTTAGTATACAATAGCCATAGCACAGATAGTTAGTATACAATAGCCTTAGCACTGATGGTTAGTAAACAATAGCCTTAGCACTGATGGTTAGTAAACAATAGCCTTAGCACTGATGGTTAGTATACAATAGCCTTAGCACTGATGGTTAGTATACAATAACCTTAGCACATAAAGTTAGTATACAATAGCCTTAGCACAGATAGTTAGTATACAATAGCCTTAGCACTGATGGTTAGTATACAATAGCCTTAGCACTGATGGTTAGTATACAATAGCCTTAGCACTGATGGTTAGTATACAATAGCCTTAGCACGGATGGTTAGTAAACAATAGCCTTAGCACTGATAGATAGTATACAAGAGCCTTAGCACTGATGGTTAGTATACAATAGCCTTAGCACTGATGGTTAGTATACAATAGCCTTAGCACGGATGGTTAGTATACAATAGCCTTAGCACTGATGGTTAGTATACAATAGCCTTAGCACTGATGGTTAGTAAACAATAGCCTTAGCACTGATAGTTAGTATACAAGAGCCTTAGCACTGATGGTTAGTATACAATAGCCTTAGCACTGATGGTTAGTATACAATAGCCTTAGCACGGATGGTTAGTATACAATAGCCTTAGCACTGATGGTTAATATAAGATAGCCTTAGCACTGATGGTTAATATACAATAACCATAGCACAGATGGTTAGTATACAATAGCCTTAGCACAGATGGTTAGTATACAATAGCCTTAGCACTGATGGTTAGTATACAAAAGCCTTAGCACGGATGGTTAGTATACAATAGCCTTAGCACTGATGGTTAATATAAGATAGCCTTAGCACTGATGGTTAATATACAATAACCTTAGCACTGATGGTTAGTATACAATAGCCTTAGCACTGATGGTTAGTATACAAAAGCCTTAGCACGGATGGTTAGTATAC